ATGGTCAAGCTTTTGCGTCATGGATGATGTAAATGCTCGAATACGTCTACTGTTAACCAACTAGCTCTAGTCTCCGCCGCATCTATCGGGCTTCTAGCCATAATGCCAAGTTTATGGCATTCTATGCCTCAGTCTCTAGTGTGCCAGCCCCCAAATGTTGTGGTTGTTGTTGTGTGTGTGCAACCTAATAAAAGCAAGTAGATAGGCTGAAAGCCCGATAGATGAGGCGGAGACTAGAGCTAGTTGGCTAACAGTAGACGTGTTCGAGCATTGACGTCATCCATGACGGAAAGGCTTGACCATGAGGAATATCCGGGCGCATTAGGCGCGATTTAGTCTCCCATCCAGCTCGAAAATAATGATTTTAGGGGTATACTTAGCGAGGCGGGAGTATGCGTGCCACCAAATACTTGTGACAATGTATAAAATAACGTTTAGAGTAGTACAGATAAGGTGGCAGAAGTCGAGTGAAATGTCTGAACCCCGAAAATAGGAGGCAGATCCTTCTGAACAAGAGGAGGATTTTGATAAGACCTATAGGAAGTGAATTACGGAGTGAGGTAGGTTATGTTAACATGATGTATAAAGTAATCATTATTAATTGTACAAAGTAACTGAAGAAACATAGGGGCATCATGCTGAAGCTAAACCAAGTGAATTAAATAAAGGAATATTAACATCTCTCTTTGAGTGTAATATAAAGGTGGTAATAGCAATTATTATGAACGTACAGAACATTGAATGTGCCCTCCAGAAATGCAAGCTGCATTATTATCCTCATCACGAGAACGGAGTGATAATGGAGTTGTTTCTACCTCCTCGGGATTGACAATAGTAGCATCTGAGGGATGTTGTTCATCATGGCTCGTGATTGTAGCAGATGCCCAACGGCTGGCCCTATCAGCATTATCAATAGTATTAATCACCACTTGGGAAGAATCTGAATTAATACGATCGCCCAGAAAGTCGGATTGAGTTGAGATTAACCAATTTACAGCTTGTGTAGGACTCCAATTATTTAGCTAAAATACACGAATATTAGGTAAGGCAACTAAAGGCTAAAAACCAAGGGAAAGAGGGTTGATAATACCTGGAGAGCAGTTTCTGAAAGTCTGCCAGTAAACCCCATCTCATGCAAAAGTTGAATGGCTGAAATTTGCTCGGGAGTGTATATCCCAGTGGAAGCTTGCTGAGACAATGGTTCCGAATCGGGTTGAGATAATGAGTGAAAAGTCTGAGGTTCGGAAGTAGCCACAGCTTCATCAACAGAAGACACAGTTGAGCTTACGCGCATTGCATCAGAATTCGCTTGTGCATGCACTTGTGGAGCAATCGATGAGGTGGGCACAATAACTTCGTTGCAAATAGGACCAGCAATTTCAGAAGCAAATGTAAGCTGTGAATCGGAATGCAAAAGGGAATCAGAGGGGTCTGTCGCAAAATTTCATATATGGGGAAGTACTAGGGCGTGATAAATATTGTTTAAAAAATAGTTAATAGGGGATACTACTAAACAATACGACAGTTTGATAAGTCGCATCGCTTAATAGTCAGTTCAATCTGATAATATCAATTGAATTTACATTAAATAAAACAAATTGAGAAGAAACTAACATGCCATATTAAGAAAACTCACATTATAAAGGAATAGTTCGGTAGGCGTTAATTAACAGAAGATTCAAATTCGAGGATCGCGTTTTAATTGCAATATGGCTTGTAAACGCATCAAAACACAAAATTTTCCTTTTTTCAGAAAAGCGAACTACCTTTTTATTAACTATCCACTCGTGATAAGTATCCTAATAATTTGGCAAACTCAATAACTGATTACACCAACAATGAAAGCCGCCATAAAATCTGCAAGTTGATGAAAAAATGTGGAAGCCTAACTAAGCACCTAGGAATGGACAGGAAATATGGAGGTGCTAACAAAAGTATAAACAGTTTATAGTTTGGAAAATAAAATCAAGGTAAATCCAGATAGCTAAATAAGTTCTCTGTAAACATAATCAAATTTATATCGCAGATATAAGGACCAAAATGGTGGTCGCAATCTCCTTTAGATGTATAATGTTTGATTGACCTCATCAGAGCGGCAGAAAGACCCTGTGGAACGTACCTAGTCTTGCGTCTTCTGCCATAGTACTCATGAAGATTTCCAGCACCGAACTAGTGGCTTGGTAGTAAATTTAATCTTAAGTTTACAAAATAGTAGTTTGTTCAATGGTCATTTTTTTATCCGTCTAGTTAAGTTTGCGAACCAAGCTCTTCAAAGCATAAGGATGAAAATTTGGAGTCTATGACAAAAATATATAATTTGAAATGAACCACAGAGGATATATAGTACTTCTGGAGTAAAAGCTAGTGATGTATTCAAAGAAATAACTATATTCCGAACAAAATATAAAAGCAATGGCACATGGCAGATCCTATTCAAGAAAATTTCATTTTCTATTATTCGACATGCAAAGAATTATCATATTCTTGATAAAACCAGTAGTCATCACCTTTTCTCCTATATTTGTGATAACCAAACTTGGATTGTATCTTGTAAGACAAAACATAGACGAATCACTGTGGCAGACAAAGTGAAGCGGATCTTATCACAGAAGCAGGCTGGATGTAAGTGAAATGTTAAGTCAACATGAAGGACAAAGGAAAGTATTCGTTTTTTATTAAGAGCCATGTCAAAAGAAAGTCTAGGAGTGGTGGGGAATCGAACTAAGCTCAAATAAATTCAATAAAAAGTAATGCATGTCCAGAGCTTC